AAGTATGATAGAAATATGGAATGAAGGAAAAGGCCAATAAATCCATCAACCACTATCTTTCAACACTCCTCACATGACCTGGTTTTCAGACCCTTCAGACTCCTTCCCACCACAGCCAGGGATTGGATATGACAATGGAATCATCGAGGGTACAAAATTTAAGGAAGTGCTCATCCAAGACAGTGCAAGTGCTGATAGTGGTCCTGCAGGGTCCTGAGAGTGGATACCGCCTAAAGAATGAGGCACTTGCCCCTAAGAGTGGAGAACTTCCTTCCTTAAGTGCCTTCATCACCTCTCCGGCCTTACCGTAGTACCGGCCCTACCGTTCACCATCCATGCCTTCAGGATGGAATATTTATGAATTACTCTGTTAATTACTCTACTATCACTTAAACCCCCAGGTCCTTCTCACATGAACAATGGCCAAACTAGCTCTTTCCTACCCTGTTCTTCTTGGTTGATTTTGAATCTCCAGAGAATGCCCCCAAGAGCATGCAAGAGACTAAGGAGTAGACTTGGGATGTAGCTCAGTGGGAGAGTGCTTGACTAGCTTGCAGGAAGGAGGTCCTGGGTTCCATCCCCATTACCAAAAAAAAAAAAAAAAGAAGAAGAAACTAAGAAGTTATGGAGTTATGAGCCATAGAGGAAATGGGTCAGGAGATGAGGGAGGAGATACAGGGCCAGAGAGATGAGGGACTTGAGGAGATTGTGATCAGCGATGAGGTCAGAGATAGAAGTTAGAGATAACATTGGGGTGATGATGTCAAAGGAATGGAGATATCAAGGATATGGGGGTTGTGTCAAAGAAGAGGGCCTGAATCCTAGAGACCTGGCAAATCTGAAATCTGAACAAGGTACCAAAGAGATAAAGATTAGGAAAAGGAAAAACTCAATGCATATAGGTTGGGAATAAAGAAACCCATTTGGGGGCAAAGAACTGAGAGAGAGCTGAGATGAGAGGAAAGCAAGACCATCAGAGAGTGGATCAATTCACCAGAAGCAGATTTCCCTGGTCTGGGCCATCATTTTTTGATGGGTCTTTTGCTGAGAAGCCAGCTTCCTTCTGTCATTCCACTTTTTTTTTTTTTTTATGGAGAAGAGAGGTACCAGGGATTGAATTCAGGGGCACTTGACCATTGAGCCACATCCCCAGCTCAGTTTTGTGTTTTATTTAGAGACAGGGTCTCACTAGGTTGCTTAATGCCTCCTTTTGCTGAGGCTGGCTTTGAACTCTCCATCATCCTACCTCAGCTTTCCAAGCTAGGATTACAGACATGTGCCACCGCACGCAGCTGTCCTTTCACCTCTCTATGTCTCAAAGAGCTGAGGGAGCCGAAGGGGCTGCTACTACTTCTCTGGTGCCCAAGATCTCTCTACTCTTGAAGTGCTTCTCACCTGCTCTGGAATTCACCTGAGATCAGGATGCAGAAGCTATATATTTATCCCCTCTAGACAGTTGCTCTTTCCCTGCGGGGAATGCAGATGGAGGCCARTAGGGTTACAGGAATGGGGTCTAGGCTCTCTGTGGGTTCAGTGTTTCAAGATAGGATTGGTGATGAGAACCACAGGAAAGGCTGTGGCAGGATGAGGAGGCCGTACTGAGAGTTTGCAGAGAGCTGGGAGAACATCATGCCTAATTAAATTAYGAGGTCCTTGGCCAAGAATCATCACTCTAGAGGGGAATCCTTGCAAAGGAGAATGCTGGGAGCTTTGCTGTACTCATTCTGCCCCGTGAGAAGAGGAAGGTGCAGACAAGCGGGCCTCAGCTGTTTAATACTCCTCCTTGGGGCCTGGGTTTTCCCTTAACCAAGGCCAAGTTAGTTGGGGCCCTTTGGGGAGGAGAAAAGGGGAAGGAGGTGTCCGGGGACACAAGGGCGGGGCTAAGAGCAGGAAATGAGCTGGGAACCACCATCACCCTCCCTCAACTGCAGAGGCTACAGCCAAAGCAGAGAAGGGGACAAAGAGGAAATGACAGATTGGGGTGGGGTGGGGTGCGGTAGGGGGAAAGAATCGTGCCCTTCTCTGTAAGTCAGGCTGGGCAGCTGTATACCTTGGTTTATTTTCAAATCAAGTTRAGAAATGGTTTTTAGTGCTACTTCATGCCAGGCACAGGGGTGATCCTAGTGTTATCCCTGGGCCTCCTGGCTTCCAAACCTACTCCAGGGAAACTTAGAGAAGGAGATGGGTGAACTCCATCGACAGTCCCCACACCCAGCCTCCCTTGCAACTTCCAACCCCAGCTTCAAAGCAGGCCTGAAGCTAACTCTCTCACTCTTCCGGTGTTCCTCATTTCAGCCACTTCTCCCCTTGTCCTCTACCTTGAACCTGTTTCTCCTTTGTACAGGGCAAACCAGAGAACTGCAAAGACTAAAGAAGGAGTCCCCCCAAAAAGGAGGCCATCCCCACCCAATACCCTCCTGTGGCCCAACAATATTTCAAAGGACCAGGTCCTTGTCCCGGATGCTCTTCTCCAGTTAGGAGGCACTAATCCTCCTCAAGTGCTTTCTTCGTACTTTCTGTGGGCCTTTCTCCTGTCCCCTTTCATTCAGACCCAAAACCATCCACTGTCCCTTCTGCCACTCCTCTTCTGACCCTGTCTGTCCTTGGTTGGCATCCTCTCATCTCTGTTTTGTCCACCTCTCCTGAGTTTCCAAACTCTCTGTCCTCTCCTCTCACTGCTCCTTTGGTGCTAATGTTTAATCCTCCCTGAAATTTTACACCAAGGCATCACTTTGCCTTCTCTGCCTCACATTTCCTATCTTCCCTCTTCATAGGTGTCTTGGGTGATGACCCCGGGCTGCCGCCCCCTTCTCTAGGAGCACCCAGAAGCAGCTCCTTCCCTTCAGACCAGTTCAGGTTGAAGACGCTTGCTGCCTGTCCTCCCACCCACCCACCCACCCACATCTCCAAGTTGGCCTCCTTACCCTCCTGGCCCGAGTGCTGCAGGTGCTCCTGCAAGTCACACCCAAACACTCGCTCCTTTGAACTGCCTTTCTTCTTTCCTTTCTGTCGAGACTTCATGGCTGGAGGGCTCTGTCCCAGCCACCTCTGTCCCCCAAGACCTTTGCCCTACCAGTCCCCCATGGGATCCCAGCTGGCCACTGGGTTTGGCCCAGCCCCAGGGGGGCAGGGCTCCAAACTGGAGGTGGAGGGTGGCCTGGGCAACGGGCAGCAGCTCTCGCCTCTGGGTCCCCAGCCACAAGGAAGTAGCTGTGGAAGGGGAAGTTGCCAGGACCCTGGCACAAAGCTGTGTCTCGTGGCCCAGCCAGGMACTCGCCCTCCTCGCCCTGAGCAGCTCTGGCAGGGGGGGTTGGGGGGGCAGGAAGCTGTGCAGCTCCTCAAACCCGCTTCCTGTTAGAGCATCTTTGCAACCACAGGGCCTGGGTGGGGGAGGTAGCTGACACTCACATCCTCACCCATTGCTGGAACTTCACCCATTGGTCAAGGAGAGGTGACATCAGAGACCTGGGGTGGGGTGATGGCGCCTGGGGCATGAGCAGGTGACTGACACCCCTAGAGACCAGAATCCTTGGGTCCATCGTGGAGACCTGAGGTTTGCCTAGGAGGAAGGTGGTACAGGGCCTGAGAAGTACACCCAGGAGGGAGCATTCCCAGGCTCCACTTTGACAGGCCTCACACCTCAGCCAAGCCACATTATTTCTCTGAGTCCCAGTTTCCACACATGATAATAAAGGGCACAGACTAGATGATCTTTAAATTATCCTTTCAGCTCTAACAGTCTGTGGAGTTCATTTAACTTGGGTTTCAGTTTCTTTATCTGTCAAAAGGGTACACCACTGTCTATTTTACACAACTGTTGTTTTAAGTCTCCAGTACAAGAAAGGTTTTTGAATTAAGACACTGACTCTCCCAGAAGGGGTTCTTAGCTCTACTCCCCAACCTGGGGACCCTCAGAGATGATTGGAGGCCTTGTGGAAGCCATTCTCTGCCCTTTCCCTCCCAGCTACAGGTATCCAGGCTCCTGCCCTACTTGGTACTGACACAGGGATCAAGCTCTGAGGGCTTTTATGGTTCAAGGCAGAAGACAGRAATCAGACAGAACAGGTTTTATCTGTTTATTTTAAAACAGAATATCATTTTATGTACAAATATGCACATATTTACACAAAATGTACATACTAGGATACCAGATCTTTGGGGTCCACAAAGTCCTGGGCCAACTGGGCTAACAGAGGCTGGGAGCCTCTCCTTTGGTCCAGAAATCCAGCAGAGTTCAAGCCACACAGGCACTAGTTCTCAGTATTCTCTCTCCCTCCCTCTTCCTCTCTCTCTCTCTCTTTCATTATTTTTTCAGTGCTAAGAATTGAACCTTCAGTCTCAGGCATGCTAAGCAAGCTACTCTACCATTGAGCCACATCCATAGCCCTAAATCTTGCTATTCGGTTTGAGGCCAAATAAATATAAACATCTAACCCCAAACCCCACTCAGAGAAACTGCCAAAAGAGCCCTGAATCAATGACTCAGAAACCCCTGGGAAAAGGAGACATTCTCACTCCTGGCGCCTCCTCCCCCTCACCTGAACATTCACCCTCCCCCATCTATAAGAACTACCCTCTCTCCCCTACACCAGGGTGGAACCAGGAGCCCTCGATACTAAGGGACCACAAACAACTGTGAATACAACTAAAAAAAAACGGAATGGGGCTAGGGGAAAAGRTGAGGGGCTGTTTGGATCAAGAAGACTTTCTTGTTCTCCCTTAGCCAGTAGCCACCGGGCTCACACCCCAATTCCAGATGTCACCAGCCGTCAGGCTCCCTCCACAGGGACTGCCTAGGTGAAGATGCCCTAGAATCACCTTTCACAATCACAGAAATTAGCCCACTRAGTGGGGTCTGAGTGAGGTCCAGCTTTGCTGAATTCCTAATTCGGCTGGCCTCCCAGTAAGCAATCCCAGTAACAAACATGCAAATAAATCGAAAGGTTTTTAATTTTTTTTTTCTCTCTTTCTCTTACACGGGAACTGGAGTAGCGCTCTGAAAGCTCCCTGTGAGTTTATTTACAGAAAGTATGTACATGCAGCAGGCCCACAGGCCACCAGAGGGCAGAGGGCTTCTTCCGTGTACAGTTCAAACCTCTGGCAGACCCCTGGGCAGCAGCTTCACACTTGCCCGGTGGCTCCAGAGTGGTGGGAACCCAGCTCCCCCACTTCAGAGGCTAGATTCCAGCTCCAGCTATGCCCGCACACCTGGATCTGACCCACAGTCTCCACCTCTCACCTCCAACCTCTGCATCATTAATACTGCTCTGGGGTCTGAGGAAAATACCTGCATTTGCAGGCAGAGGTCACACAGTCACATCACACATAAACCAAACCTTGACATCACTCCCCACACAGCCACCCAAATCCTGTGGCACACACATCACTGTCCACTTGGACTTTAACAAGACAGTACAATATATAACCATAGACAATCATCCCTTCACACACAGTGAATGCTCACACAAACACAAAAGCACACACACACAGTGACCTGCACACACGGTGGGAGAGACTCAAATGGAGCCCTCCCAATAAACAGAAGGATTGGAGGAAAACATGGAGCAGTCAGTGGGGTGGGGAGCATCTTCCTCAAGAGATAGGGGCATTTAAGGAGGCCCCCCTGAGATGAGTTAAAATCCCCCATGTCAGCAGAAGGAGCCAGGCCTAGGGGAGAGAGGCAGACCTGGGTCAGACCAGGTGTCCCCGACCATTGATGTAGATGCCATTGCCTGTGGGTTTGGCCCGAAGGGTCCCATTCTCCTGAACAAAATGGTTCATGGCCTGTTTGATGCCTTCATCTCGATCTTCCTCTTCCTCTGCCCKTCCAGAGCCTGGAGATAGCAATTCGGTCTGTGTTTCAATCTCCCGCACTGTGGTCAGTGTGGAGTAACTGCGGCCCTCTGGCTCTTCACTCTGGAGACCAAGGGCAGAGGTCAAGTCAGCAACCAAAGCAGGGCATTCAGATACAATGGGGGATGGTTGGGTCATGGTGGGATAAGAGGTCAGGCAAAGCCGGGGTAATGACTGTCCCACAGGCACAGGGCCTCCGAGATCAGGGGCCAGGAACAAATGTTAGGCGYGGGGAAGGGAAGGGGAGAGGGAATATGAAGGCACAACACAGATTCGGGGTTGGGCCACATATGAGCCAGGGCTGAGGCGCGAGGGACTGGTAAGGGGACTGCTAACGCACCACATTTGGGGCCAGGAGAGGGGCCTGAGGAGAGTGGTGGGAACACCGGTGGGGCCGGGGGCCTCACCATCACAGAGCAGCTACTGTTGTCCTTGAGACTATCGGGGTGGCCCTCGGCTCTCAGCCCTACACTCTCCTCCGGCTGCAGGGCCCAGACATGGGGGAGGAGTTAAAAGAGAGCTCAGCCTCCTCCCCTCAGCCTTTTCACCACTTGTCCTCCCACCAGCCTCCTCCCTAATCACCCTTCCCCCAACCCCACAGGTCCATTCCCTCTCTGATACAACCTCATTCCCCCACTGCCATCCCAACCCCACCCTGGACCCAGAACTAGTGGTAGATTCCCAGAGCAACCCCCAGGCTAATGGTGAAGGGGCCCTTACAAGGAGTCTTCCCAGTCCCAAAGCAGTGACACTCCCCAACCCCATCCACAGCCCAGCCCAGCCAAGTCACAGCCAGACTGGTGGAGGACTGTGCTCCTGGTCTGCATAGACACCCAGACACAAGCCACCCCTCATGCACACACCCCACCTTGGCACACACCTGGCTCCTGGGGTCTGAGTGATGAGAGTGCAGCCTCCGGATGGAGTTCTCCCTGGTCAGGGTCAGTTCCTCCTCACTGGGAAAGACACCCCCTTGTCAGGAACTGAGGGTAGCAACAGGCCACCCAAGGTGAGCCTAGCCTAGGTGTCTATGTGAAACCTGGCTGCATGGTGTGGGTGCTCTGYCAGCCCTGCAGGTATGAGTGTGTGGCTGCAGGTGGCAGTGTGGCAGCAGAGCACGTATGCCCTGTGTGTGAACAAGTGCGCATAGTTGGCATGTCTCATCCTCACTCAGGCCAAACAGCTCCCACCACCCAGCTGTGGTCCAGGCCCCAAGCCCYTCTCACCTCCTAAAGACTGTCCACTTCTGGTCCATAAGCTCCCCAGATGTCTGGCTACTCAGTMTCCTTTCTTTCCTCTGTTCTGTCCCACCTTCTGCTTGCTTCCTTTTCATTCCCAGCTTAATTCTACCCACCAAGGAGAGCCAGTACTCACTATTTCTGGGTCATCTGCTGGGCCTTGCGCCGATGGTATCGGGACATGAGTATCACCACCACCACCAGAAGGCAGAACAAGAGGGCAGCGATTACACCCACCACCACCACGGATGCTGACACTAGATCCACCTGTTGCCCTGGGTCCTGAGGGTCTGCTGGAGACAGGCCATTGTCTGAAGTGCATGCCCATATCCTCGAACCACCACGACCCCAATGCCCTCACAYACCACCCTCGTATACCACATCCCCAATCACCCACTCAGCTAGACCCTCTGCAAAAACCATCCTGTCCCCCTAAATAAATACTTTCCCCAATTCTTTCTTTTGTCTTGCTTCCTGTTACTACCCTCCAACCCTCCCCTTGCCCTAGGCCCAGGTCCTTGTCTCTACTCTCCAACCATCCCCCACCCCCATGCTTACCAAGAATATCCACAGTGACCTGAGAATCCCTCGAGGAAAGCTCATTGCTAACATGGCAGACATAGACGCCACTATGCTCAGTGGTCAGCGGGGGAAAGCCAAGAGTGTCCCCTTCTGCTCGTACCCCACTGGGCAGAGGCCCATCCAGCCTGGAGGATAGGAAAGCTGAAGGGTGCCTTCTGGGGCGGGTTGAGGCTGCCACCACCCAGCATGTCCAGGCAGCTCTCACCCCCCTCCCCCATGACGTCACCCAGAGCCGCCGGCTGTTCCCACGGTGCCCCGCCCTCCCGTAGGCAGGTCTAGGCAGAGGCCCCTCTCCCTGCYGCCCAGCCTGACCCGGGCACCCCCCACACACACTCAGGGAAGATCCACACGCGTGCCATCCCACATTCTCCCATAGGTATCACGTCATCCAGCACTGGGTACCAGGCACACATGCTATAAAGTCCACACCATAGGACACTGCAGCCCTAGTTGGGCTCAGGGGTACTTGGAAAATGTGGCTGAGGGCTCCAACACCTGTGATGCATAGTGGGCACGCAAACCTAGTGCCAGGCACAAAGCATGCATAGCTCATTCGCCCACATGTGAGAACATGTCTGTCATGATATCACACATGTGTGCACGCTATCTCTTTCTGGTCTCTGGACATCTCAGACCCTGGGAGAAAAACCAGGACTCTTGAGGGAGCTGGAGAAAGTGGGAGAGTGTTTTTGAGGTACTGGCAATATTGTGGCAATGATAGGAATGAGTGTTGGTGTAACAACATCCAGCTGTCTTCTTCATCTCATGCACTTTGTGCACTCACCTAAATTTATAAAATATTAATATTTAATACCATGGGCTTGTGTGTGTGTGTGTGTGTGTGTGTTTTCCAGTGCTAGAGATAGAAACCAGTGACTCATGCATGCTAGGCAAGTGCTCTACCACTGAGCTGCAGCCCTATCCCTAATATTATGCTGTATTTCATAATTTAAAAGTTAGGGGAAAAGAGCCAAGAATTTATCCATTTTATTTTCTACCAATGACCATGTATCCTAGAAGCCCCAGAACAAGCCAACAATATTTGGTGACCATGCATATTCTTGTATAGGTCTGAACATGTGCCCTAGCTTATCATAAGTTTGAATATATGATTCCAGCCTATAATGAGCATGTGCTGGCCCTGGGAGGGGATGATCCTAGTCCCAAGCCTAGTCCTCACCATGGTAAGTCCTCTTACCGTGTCCAGTTGTATGAGGGAGGGGGCTGTCCTTCACTCAGGCACTTGAGCATAGCTCCTTCTCTGCCAACATGCCACAGCTTTTGGTCCTCAAGGCCCCTGACAGAGGCCTCAGCAAGGACTGGAATGGGAGGTGGGAGGAGAAAGCATGGGAATGATGCCTTTAATCACGGGATTCCTCGAAGGGCCCTGCCCCCTGCCCCACCCTGCCTGGAATAGCCTCCCCCTGACTTTTTCCATCCTACTCATGTGCCTCCAAACCTAGCTGCACCACACTTGGCCCACAGCTCCTGGCCACATGGTTCCCTCTCCTAAGCTCAGAATCTATATTGCTTTACCTGAGTTATGAGCCTATAAGTTCCTCAAGTGTCACACYTTTTCTGGATCTCCCGTGGTGCCTAGCAAAGTGCTAGCCACTTGCTCAATAAATGCTTTTAGAGTCTTTGAAGGTTTAACAATACTACAATCCTACAATCATACTAGTTTATCCTTTCCTTTCTTTCTTTTTTAGTACTGAGGCTTGAACCAAGGACTGCTCTACCACTGAACTACATCTTCAGCTCATCTTTATTTTTTTTTTTATTTTGAGGTGGGGTCTTGCTGAGTTGCCCAGGCTGGCCTCAAACTTGTGATCCTCCTGCCTCAGCCTCTTGAGTTCCTGTTATTACAGGCATGTGCCACTGTGCCTGGTTCAATCATTTCTTTAACAAACATTTGTTGAGGACCTACTTTGTGCCAAACGTAAGAGCAGCTGGAGCTGAAAATGGTCCCTCCCACCTCTGCCCAGAGACTTGATGTATACTGCTGGGAATACAGTCTCTGCTGTTTCCTGAGCTTTCCTATACTTTGAGCTCTGTGTGAAATGCTTTGCTTCATGGTTGCTAATTTTCATCAAAATCTCATAAAGTTGGTATAATTATACTCATTTCACCGATGAAGAAAATGAACCCTAACAAGATTAAATAACAGCTGGTAAACAGAACGAGAGCTTTCCCAAATCTGCCTCCAAAACCTAAAATGTATATTTTGCAAAGTACTTTCAATTCCATGTTTATATTTGATTCTCCCAACAAAACTGCAAAGCAAGGCAATCTCCTCTGTAAAGATAAGGACACAAGCTCAGAGAGATTTCAGTGATTCACCAAGGTTATCTGGCATTGGACTCCAGGTCTTCTACCTTTCAACTCTCTTACACATTATAGCCTCAGGACCCAGGCTGGCCAGCCTGGAGGGACTTGGGGGTCTCACAGTGTCTCACCAACCCTTTTATAACCCATGAGGCCTGTCTACCCAAGCATCTAAGTACTCACAAGCCACTTGGAGGGTGTGGGTGATCCTTTGGTCCTGGAGCAAGCCAGGGTGAGACACCACGCAGGTAAGTGGCTGCCCATTCATGCTACGGCTAGGCACCAGATGGAACTCTGAAGTGACAGCAGCAGAGCGAGAGTGCGTGAAGGAGCGGCTGGATGGTGTGCCTTTGACCTCTGTGTCCCAGGACACTTGTGGGGCTGGGCTGCCCTCAGCTGTGCAGGAGGCTGCCAACGTCAGGCCCTGGCCCTCTTCTAGCGGTGGACCAGGAATCAGTGAGGGCAGGGGAGGCACTGCGGGTGGGTGAAGGCAGAGTTCACGGGTCTGCACAAGCCCTCTCAGGAGGCCCCAGCCCCACTCCATCCCACTGTAGTCTTGCACCATTGCAAACTTGAGGCTGCCCGCCCCCTATTCCTTCTTCTTCTTTTTTCCTTTTCTACCCCGCCCAAGTGCTAGGGATTGAAACTAGGGGTGCTCTAGCACTAAGCTACATCCTCAGTCCCTTTTTAATTTTTTTTTTTAAATTTTGAGAGGCTGGGGCTGTGGCTCAATGGTAGAGCACTCACCTAGCACATGCAAGGCACTGGGTTCGATCCTCAGCACCACATAAAAATAAATAAATAAAMTAAAGGTATTGGATCCCAACTGCAACTAAAAAATATATTTAAAAAAAAAGAAGGGAAAAATTTTTGACACAGGGTCTCAATAAGGCTTGCCTGGAACTCACAATCCCCCTACCTCAGTCTTCCAACTCATTAGTWTTATGGGCATCTGCCACCACACTCAGCTCCCTAGTTTTTCTCTTATTTCACTAACAAGTACACCAGATAAGTGGTAGAATTTTAAGTGACTGTATCTTTCTCCATTGTTTGAATTTTTTTACAGTGAGATGGGTCATTTTTTAAATAAAAAATAATGAAGTAATTTAAAAACTAACTAGATACTATCTAATAATAATAATAGCCACCATTTAGTAAATACTTACTGTGTGTCAATTATTATGCTAAACACTTTACAAATGTTATCTCATTTAATTCTGTCAACTAGCGAATGAGATCGGTATTATCATCCTTATTTTTCAGGTGAGGAAACTAAAGCTCAGAGAAGTTAAATGACTTGCTCAAGGTCTTAGGTGATGAAGTCTAGATTCACACAGATTTTCTACACCAAAGCTGGAGTTACTACCTTCTATGTGGATAAAGGAAAACTATATAAAGACCTTTAATTTTAGCTTCAAAATGTTAAAAACCCAAGCATAGAATGGTAAAGACTTAATCTGACCATAGGTCCAGGTTGACCACAAGTGCCCACAATAGTGGTTTAAAAGGCAATTGTGCTCTCAGACCACATTCACTGAAGGTTCCTCCTGGTTATGCATGGCCATACCGAGCTGGGTCTCTTGTCCACATCTGGGCCTCACATTTTAAAACCATGGGGCCCAAGATGGCAAGGGAGGCTTTGAATCAGTGTCTTTAGTGAAATGGTGGTAGGAACCAGTAAGTGTAGCTCGGAGAAGAGCAGATTTGGGTGGAGGTCCTTAACAAAGGTCTTCAATTCCTTGAAAGGCTAGGTGTTACATTGCTCTAGCAGGCAAAATAACACAGAGGGCAACTTCAGGTATCAGAAGGAAGAACTTCCCCAAAATGGATTCTTCCCCAGGTTTGGGAGTTACTTGGCAAGAATTTCTGAACTGGGTGGAGGAATAAAAAGGATGGTTCTCCCTCACCCCAGAGTATCCTATGTTTTTATTCCTGTTTTGCAGTTGCCCTATCACTGGTTCCCACTCCCCTGTTGTGGGACTTGAACCCAGGAGCCCTCTACCACTGAAGTACATCCCCAGCCCTTTTACTTTTAATTTTGAGACAGGTCTCAATAAATTGCCCAGACTGGCCTCGAACTTTCCATCCCTCTGCCTCATCCTCCCAAGTCGCTAGGATTATAGGCCTGGCCACCAGCCCAGGCCCATCTGTCTTTGTGGTCCAGTCTCTACTCCTCCTGCCTCCAGCTTCTATCCTCCTTGACCCTGAGTCTGGGCATCTGGTGCTTCTGCACACACACAGAGCAGCCCCCGGCCATGCCCAGCMGGAACCACTTACCCAGCACTCGGAGCCGCAGCCGCGCCTGGAAGCTGCCAGAAGGGAAGGTGCTGACCCGACACTCGTACTCGCCCTCATCTGCTTGCACTGCGTTGCGCAGGAGCACTGAGCCGTCCAGGGGGTCCCGTGGCGGGGGTGGTTGTTCCACGCGACCCTCGTAGGCTGAGCTCGTGTGTAGCCCATATTTGGAGTTCAGTAGCGCCAGCTCCTGGGCACCCTCGTTCACGTCCACCCGAGCCCATGCTACCTGCTCCACTTTCTCCTCCGGATCCCCTCGGTAGAAACAGGGCAGCTTTGCGTCCTGGCCCAGCACAACGGTTATCAAATCCGTGGTCTCCAGCACACCCGCGGGGCACTGGCCTGCAGGGGGCAGACAGGAGCACACAGGATTAGGGGTGCAGCCAGAGTCAAGGGAACACAATCATAATGATAATGACAGCCAAAGCRGCGGGAACTCCTGCAACTCCTGGAGCATTTTATGCTTGCAAAGCGCATTCAGTTCATTACCTCATTAGATCCACAAAACATTCCCAAGAGGTAGGCGTTATTATCGCCAYTTAACAGATGAGGAAACTGAGACCCAGAGAGAGGAAGTGAYTTGCCTAAGGCCACACAGACAATTTATGGAAGACTCACACCCTCTTGTAGCCTAGGATTGTATCCTGAGCAATTGAAAGGTGGGAGGCTTTAATAGGACCAGAGACCCAGCCCCTGCCCTCAGGGAGCTCCTAGTCCTCAGGGAAATGGAATTTGTGCACCCAGAAACAGGGAAAGCCACCAGCGAGCTTTCACAGGAGACTAAACCTACCATCTAAGTAAAAGTGAATGCTTTCAGGAAGTGTGGCAGAGAGCCACAGCAAGAGTCTAGAGCCGTTGGTGTCTGGCTGGAGCAGGTAGGGTGAGAAGAGTTCATCCAGCGAGGCCCTTTGGAATTTTCTTTTCATGGCTTGAAGGTGAGAAACTGGATTCTCAGAGAGTAGAAGGTATTCCAAGTGGGAGGAATGGCATGAACCAAGGCTCAGAGGCAAAAATGAGCAAGTCAACAAAGACACGGCCCAGGTCAGAGGCCCAGAAAGATGAGGTCAGGACAGATACAMAGCAATAGGGTCAGATTGGTGAGGCAGAATTAGGACCAGAGATGAAGGAGTAGTGTTGTGCACATTGATGGGCAGCAGTATGAAGCACTTGAAGAAGAATTTGGAATCAGATATCCATCATATAAACTTGCAAATAAGATCCATTCCCTACCCTCATGAAACTAGAGGTCTCATGGAAATATGCCATGATGGTTTCTGATTTGGTGCCTAGTGGTGYGTTGCAGGCCAGTTGTATGATGAAGCAGTCACTGTGGGCTTGAGTCACGGGGGAGGGCCTCATGGATGAGTTGCATAGGATTAGCAGGGAGAGAGATCTAGAAAGGCATTTCAAGTAAAAGATCAAGGTGAGKGAAGAAGTAGTGGCAAGGCTGGCTGGTTTCAGGAAGCAGAGGAGAGGACCCAACCTAAGTTAGGGTGTGTATGTTGAACAGGAGTGGAAAATATGGCTGGGGTAGGGTGGGGCTAAATTGCCCAGAACCTTCCATGCCAGGCAAAGGAATTCAGATTTGGTCAAGAGTAGACGGGGAGTCACTGAAGGTTCCTTAGCCCTGTGAGTAGTGCAAGGTAAGAGGTGATGTGCAGTTGGTCCAGAGAGYAGGCAGACCGAAGACAGCTGCTGTCCTGGGATGGTGTTGCTGGGGCAGGAAAGTTCCTGGAGGGAAATTTGACAGGGATTGGATTGATCATTGACCAAAAAGAGAGAAGAGGGAGAGGAGAGACTCAATGACAACAGAATTTCCAGAATGAATACCTTATGAAAGAGGCAGAGTCTGGAGAAGCTCATGGATGGGAAGAAATAAATGTGTGTGAGTTGTGGAATGAAATGTGAAACATGGGACCAAGGGCTGGTTCAGAAGGGTGCTCTGGTGTGGCAAGAGCTCCTTGACTTAGATGAATATTCCAGCAACTCCCAACCAGTTATAGTCGCTGCTTCTGCCCAGCACCCCACACACCCTGTTGATCCTCACCTTTGCTCATACTGTACCCCTGCCTGGAATGCCCTCCTCCCAGTGTCTGGTAGCTCCTACTCATCATTGTCTGGAGGACTCCTACTCATGCTTTAGGACTCTGCTTAGGCATCACTTCCTCCTGGAGTCATCCCTCCCAGCCCTACCTCAGGCAGCCTTGGATATCCTTCCTTTGTACTCTCCTAGTTCTTCGCTTTTACCCCTGTGGTAACACTGTAACCCACAGATTGCATTTGCTGTTTTCTTGTCTCTCTCCCCCACCAGACTGAGCTCCTACAGAGCAGAAACTGGCCCACACATCACATATGGTTTCTGATTTTGTGTTCATGTGGTCTTCATGCCAGACACTTAACTGGTGCTCAATGAAAGTTTATTAACTGACCAACTGGATGAATGAGTGAATGGGAAAATGGATGAGTGAGAGACAAGGGCAGAGAAAGAAAGGGTAGGATTAGGAGGAATATACAGTCCTTGGTTGGTACTGGCAGGGAGGGYATTGTCATGGCAACCTTGGGGTAGAGGCAGGATAAGGATAGCCTGGTTATTTGGGTTCATGGACAAAGGGAGCACCTCTGGACTAGACAGAGGAAGAGGGAACGGAGGCAGACATGGAGGGAGAGAGTGAAGCATTGAGTGGACCATAGGTTTCCAATGAGGCAGAGGAAGGGGTCCTACGGTCCTGCTGGCAGGAGTAGAGGGAGGGAAGACTCTGCTGGGAGTTGGGAGGGCCCAGACCAGACGGGACAGACTTGAAGGGCCAGATACCAGGGCCCTGACCTGCCTAAGCTGATTTTGGTCCCACCCAGCCCAGCCTGGGAGTCCAGCTAACCACCTGCACCCCTCCCAGGCACCTCCTTTCTGGCACTGGAGAGAGGAGGAGAACTGCAAAAGAAGAACTGGGGTCAGGCTTGGGATAGAGGCTCCCTGGAATACTCTGCCTCAAATACTGGTGACCATGTAGGTCACAGGGATCCTAAGGCCTGCCCCCATTGAAGCATTCAATTTTCTCTAAAGATCATTTCTGGGATGATGTCAGATGGCATATATCCCATCCCCATCCCTATATCTGCCAATCATCTGCCCCTTCATATTCCCCCCCAAAAAAATTACCTTCTAGGGCATAACACATAGGGACCTGTGAGTCCAAGAGCTCCACCCCCCAAAACAAGCTCAAGCTTTGCAGAATGAAAACCCAATGAAACAAGAAAGTCCCTTCTGGATCTCTCCTGCAGTACCCACCCTCCCATGGTCCTAAACCCACAATTTAATAGGAACATCTCAGGCTGAGGCAACTCCCTCCTCCAACTGCCTTCYGTCCATCCCCTAAGCTGCAAAAGAAGAGGAAAAAAAAAAAAGGAACTTGGGCCCTAGAGTCCTTGTCCTGGGCTTAATGGACTCAGGAGCTCAGGCTCTCAGGCCAGGGCAGGCCAGGACTGCCTCCTCCTCTTCCCCACCCAGTGCCTGCCCGGCGTCAGCATGATGATGTCACCAGACCCAAGGAGACACACCGCCTGCCTGGTGAGGTCACCCTGCGGGCATGTGGTGGCCAGGCCAGGCCAAGCCCAYAGACCCTTCTGCTGCAAATTGTTTGCTGAGGCTAGTGGACTCTAGCTAGCTGGTTACTCCTCCCCCTGACCCTCCCCTCCTTGCCTCCCAGGAGCACCAGGACGCTGGTCAGGAGCCTTGGTGACTCAGAAGCCGCCACACAGCAGCAGGCCTAGCCACAGCCACCACCACCTTGCGCAAGGAAGAGAACAGGCCCAACTGGCCAGACGGGATCCCTGCCCTCAGCCTCCCCCACCCCTGGCCAGGCCCCTTCAGGCCTCTTTGGGGCCCTGCCCTTTGTGTACCCCGCCCGCTCCCAGACAGGTCCTCCATTCCTGGCTTGGGCTAGCTGGCTGCACCCCACGTTTTGCCTAGATCCCAACTTTCCTTTCTGTGTGAGGCCTGGCCTCTGATCAAAGGGGAAACTGAGGCTGATACCTCACACACCCAACCACAGCAGCATCTTTGGGGAAGAGATCTTTTCTTTATGAGGGGCCTATATTTATCAATATCCTCTGTTGGAACATATAGGGGTGCACACAGGGGTCCTAGAGGTGGGACTATGAGAAAAAGGGAAAAAAGTATTTTTTTTTCTTTTCAGTACTAGGGATTGAACCCAGGGGTACTCTACCACTGATCTATGCCTCAAACCTTTTTTTATTTAAGACAGGTTCTCACAAAGTTGCCCAGGCTGACCTCAAACTTAGTTTCTGCTTCAGCTTCCCAAATCACTGGGATTATAGTATGCACCACCACATTTGGCTAAGTGTGAGTCTTTTGTGTCTAAATACATGGCCTGGCCAATCTTTCTATAGAGCTTGCACATCTGTGAGGTTATGTCCTTTCATGAATTTGGGGGTATTTCACACACATATATGTATTCATGTCTTATCTTCAAGGGATTCTATGTAGTTACTTTTCTATGCCCAGAGGGAAGAGTCTTGCATTCGTGGGCAAGCAAACATGTGTGCGTGTACCATTCACTACATGTGCATCTCATACCCTATATGCCTGTCAGGTATTCCTGTCCTGCAGAACTCTGCACACATAGTAAATATTTTGATGCTGCTTATCTTGGTTTCCGCATCTGTCTCAGCTGCCCTTGGTCAGTGGTGTGTGATTCTGAGCCTTTGCTGTGTGACCTGTCTCAAGTGTTGCCCCCCGGCATCCCTCGCCCTGAGACTTGAGGACAGATTCATCTCAGGTTCAAGCTGAAGGTACCCAGAGATGAGGTCACTGTCCCTCTAGGTATTGGGAAATTACCACCAAGCCTTCCCAACAAGAACAAAACAAAAGCTCCCTCTCCCTTGTTCCTCAGGTTCCTACTAAAGGGACTCTCACCCTTGTTGCCCCCTGGGCTTCCCTCAGCACCTCTGGCCCCCCAGTGAGGCCTCTCCCTGGGAATCTCTTGTCTGAGCTCTGCTGCTGCCACCACCTGAAAAACCAGCTCCAGCTCCAGGCCTGGGGTAAGGGCTGTCTGGTGTGGGTTTGGTGAGAAGGGGGGAGATCTGCCTGAGGCTAGAGGGAGGGGTCCAAACCGTCTAGGGTCTCATTCTTCTTTGTTAACTCTTCCCTGCCCTAACCCCACAACTCTAGCTCCACCAGAGAGACCTGGAGAATGTGGGTGAGTTTGGTAGAAAAGACCTGGGAGGGAAGCACCGAAGCCCCCCATCCAGGACTGATGATATAAACAATCCAGCAAGCCACTCTTGGTCCTCCCTTCCCCCTTAACCTTGGCCTTAGAGTGCTAAGAAACTTTGAAAACAAGAAGACTCCCGCCCATGTACCTCCCTCCTTACCCCCCATTGTCCTAAGCCCCCTGGCTTAGTGAGAGCTTCCCAACCCGGGCAAAGCGCCCACCTGCAGATTAGTGTCTGGGGAGGGGGGCACACCAATCACAGAGAGAGGAGAACAATGGGAGAGGACAGGCCTAGAGGCAGCTGTCTCTGGCCCAGACACAGCTCCCAGCACAGATAAGTCCCCTAAACCCCCCGGAGCCAGAGTCTGAGCCCTGCTGCGTCACCACAACAGCCACACTGTGGGTGGGAGACCCAGAATTCGGCTTCTCTCAAACTCCTGAGATCCTTGCCCCCCCCACCTCTGCCCCCTCCCAGCCAAGTCCAGCTCTGCCCCACCCCAACTCACAGCCTCCACCCCAGCTCCCCGGACACACCAGTTTTAGAGGGAAATGGAGGGCAGTCAGAAAACTATAGAGAACACTCCTGAGGCTGGGGGGCTCCCTGTTGGCTGCCTGTTCCAGTAAAAAATATCCTATCCCAATCATCCTCTCTATATACTTCTTCTAGGAGGTACAGTGGACGGTTCCCCATTTTGAATTTCTCTTGTTTTAGATTATTGTCATCCCAAGTTCAAGTCCAGCCTCAGCAACTTAGCCAAACCTTAGTAACTTAATGAGATAAAAAATAAAAAAGCTGGGGGTATGCTGGGCGCAGTTGGTGCATGCCTGTAATCCCAGCTGAGACAGGAGGATCATGAGTTCAAAGCCAGCCTCAGCAAAAGCAAGGTGCTAAGTAACTCAATGAGACCCTGTCTCTAAATAAAATACAAACAGGGCTGGGGATGTGGCTCAGTTGTCAAGTGTCCCTGAGTTAAATCCCTGGTACCTACCCCCCCAAACAAAAGCAAACCTGGGTTCAATCCCCAGTACCAAATATATGTATGTATGTATGTATGTATGTATCTATCTATCTATATATAGATAGATAGATATATAGATATATATATCTCCCAGATCTAGACCCAAAGACCCCAAGTCTCCATTATCCCCTTCCCTCCTCACTCAAGTTTCTTAATTTAACCTCCATCCCTTCTCTCTGCCAGACTCTGTGGTCAGTACAAGGACAAGTTCTGGAGGCCAGAAAGCCCAGGCATTTTCTCCTCACTGGGCTTGCTCTACACTGTGGCTGACCCCCATTCACATTGCCCAGAGTACCCCAAGATTCTGAGCTAGAATACAGAAGATGAAACCATGGACTCTAAGCTCCTCACCACCCTCTCTGTTGCTGGGGTCTCCTTAGCCCAGTGCCCTTAAACACTAGGGTGGAACCAAGGTCACTGGGGCCAAGGGCTTCCCTGGGATTCTCCCAGTTCTTGCCACTTGGGTGGGGAAGCAAGCTTCCCTTTCTGGCTTCTCTGGGTTTGGGCAGATCCTACAGGAAAGGGCCTGCCCCCCTTTGTAAACAGGAGTAGAAAAGCAGAGACAAGGCACCTCCCTTTCTAGGAAACTAACCTCAGACAGAGAACTCATCCTAACCCTCTGAAGACAGACCTCAGAATTCAAAGAATCATTCATTCTCTGGTCCTACAGGGCCATCTGGGTCCATCTGGAGTTTATTGAAGGGTATCTCCCAGATTTGGGCCCCTTAACACCAAGACAGGAGATGGGGGAAGGAGGAGGGAGGGAACGCACCCGGAAACTCATCCCATTAAGGAGAGACAAAGAGCTGTGGTGTTGGAGGCGCCTCCCAAGCCTGGGCTCCTCTCACTGTCAAGGGTGGGGCAGGGCCCTGGGGCTCAGAGCTCTACTGGCCCCGGAGTTGGGGAGGGGGGCATAAATTTGCAGTAGGGCTAAGAAAGTATCCTAGGGAAAGATCCTCTAGGTCCCCAGTGGAGATGCAGCAAAGACCCTTTGCCCTTTCTATTTTTATAGTCAGACTGGGCAACTCTTCCAACACCCCAGCATCCCCCCCCCCCCACAGTCCAGCTAGGAGTTGGACAATTACAGAGTCATTGTATTTCAGAATTGGGAAGACCTGCAGAGATCATCCATTCCTAGCTTTTGGCCCACTGAATTTAAGTTTCTTAGTTGCTCAAGGTCACTCAGCAAATTAATAGCAGAAATGGGATTGGAATCCAAGGCTTCTGATTTCCCAATCCAAGGTTAATTCAGAAACATGAAGCCCTCCAGGCTCCCAGGGGCACTAAGGAGATGTCAACACACAAAAGAGGTAGAATGGGGATGGCAATGGAGATGGAACACCTGCTTTCAGGCTAAGACTAGGGGGTCTGAGTCATCAGCCCTGAGCGTAACAATAGCCCTGAGGAGGTTAGAGAAGCAGCAGCAGAGTGGTCTCCTTAAGTACCATATCCTGAGCAGCTCATATCAAGGCACTGGGTGAGGACAGGGGCAATTTCCCAACTAGATGGGATTCTCTTTGAAAGAACATTAAGCTGTGTATCGTGGAAAGGAAGGTAGGGGYCGTGTCTTATTCACCAGTGCTTCTCCAGCATCTAGAACCTCAGCTGTACCCAGTGTACATTTGATTGTACTTTTCTTTAGTGAACAAGGAGTCAGGAGACCAAGATACTAACCCTGGTTATATTTCTGACACTGAGTAATCTTATAGATCTCATTTCCCTATCTATTTCTCTCAGTTTCCCATCTGTAAAATGAGGGAGTTGGAGTGGTAGATCTCTTTGATCCCTTCCAAGTCCTGAGACAGCATGACTCCATTCTTTAGGTGTGGGTAGATCCTACAGGAAAGTGCCTGCTGGGTTCCCTAGCCCCAGCAATGAGGCCCCACCCTCTTGGCCTGAGCAAGTGAGAAAGGTTGTCTTGAAGTTGCAAATTAAGACACAAGGATGGGGGAGCAGCAGGGGATGGAACTCAGTATTCTGAAATTGGAGGCTGGGCCAATRACCTTCCATTATAAGACCAAAGCCAGAGCAGCCCCCAACCTTACCAATCCAGCAATCCAGGCCTTAACCTTCTCCATAGAGCATCAGTTGGAGCTGGGAATGGGAATCACAGCCAGAGAGGCTTTTGGACAACTGAGACTCCCTCATTACTACTCTTAAGGCTGAGGATTCAACTGCCCTCTCCAGGTAGGGCCCCATCTTCCCAAGTACAAAGATTTCTCAGTTACCTCTTACCCTGGGAACAGTCTATGGTATCGCAATTTGCGCATGCACACACACGACACACACTCCCACTCTGAATATTATAAACTCTGATAATTCATATCTGCTGCATGTATATTACATTTGTATGCTGTGAGGAACAGCATAAGACATCTGAGAAAATAGGGGCACAGGAAATGAACAAAAGGAGACCACACCCTATCTAGAAAGTCCCCTATCCTAGACCCCGAAGCCCTTTAAATAGCCACTATTGTCACCCTAACACTTAACAGTATGTGTGCCGAGGGAAAGAGAGGAGGCAGAGTGAGAAGATAGCTCAGCTTCTCTATAATCCCCCAACAGACACCCCCATCCTGGTACCCTAGAATATCACAAAGACAAGAGAAGGAGAAAGAAATGCTCCCTGGACATCAGGCTTCCTGCACCTGATGATTGCTGAGACCAGCTGAGCTCTGAGTCAGCCCCAGCTTTGGAGTCTAGAGGATAGGCCAAAGAGCTTCCAGGAAGCCCTGGGGTGATCAGGGTCCTCAGCAGTTCCACCTCCCTGCCCACCTGCACTGAGTCACCATATCTATTTCCCCTAGACACAGCTCAGGCCTAAGTAAGGTTTTGGCAGAGGTAATCAGGGACCCCAGACACATTGACCTCACCAGGGGACAGAGATCTACATTGGTTCTTCTGGAGGCATTCCTGGCAGCTGGAGATGGGCTCTTCTGTCCCAAGTCCAAGGAAAGAGAATGTTTGTATGAATGCATGCATGTGTGTTTATGTGTTTGTGTGTGCATGCCTGTGCCAGGTTGGGCTCAGAAATAAGAGTCCTGATGGATCAGGTRAGTCCTACCTGTAAATGATGCCAGGAACAGCAGCAACAGCCAACCTTCAGGCCCCAACATCTCGGCTCCCAGGGACAGGGGCATTGGTTGAAAGGCAGACCTGCCCAGCGATTTTGAAGTTCCACCGAGTTCTCCCTGGGAGCCGGGTCTAGAGCTGGATAAGGCACACGACCCAGTCGACAGGAAGCTACAAAGTCCCCAGGCACTGACACACCTGCCTATCCGACTTGGGTCTCCACTAGGAGACCCAGCCCGCTTCTACCCACCTAGCCGTGGCTACCCCTGAGAAGCCGTAATCGGGAGCTCAGAGCTCCCCCAGAGCTGCTTCCCACGCCGTGGCCAACAACGACGGCAGAAACCTGGGAACCTGCTCAGCAGGTCAGAACAGGTGCGTCTCCGGGGGCTGGGCCTGGCACGGAGACTCAGCAGCCACCGCCCCCACCGCCTGGGCTAGCTAATGGGCGCCAGGGAGGGAGGATAGGAGGGAAGAACCTGGGTGGGGGCGGTGGGGTCCCATCCTCAGCTCCGGGCTTTACCTGTGAGTGCACAGAAGGGGCTGCGAAGGGAGGGACTAGGGTGGAGGTGCGGACCTAGCCAGGATGAACAGGGGCAAGGCCCTTGTGGGTGGCATCTCACACCCCAGGCAGGCTTGCTGACTGCTGGGAGCAGTTCCCCAAAGTGACARTTCCCAAAATTGACAGTTCCCCAACTCCTGGAGGGGCTCAGCTTTGAAGCTATAGAATCAGAGAAGAAAAATATCACAACAGAAAAGGATCCTGGCTTGCAGGTCCATAAATTTATTTCCTTCTTCAGATGAGAAAACATCCTTCAGATGAGGTCCAGAGAAGGGAAGGGACTTGGCAGAGGACACACAACTTAGTGTCATGTTTTGCTGAGACACCTCTATCTAATTTGCCCACTTTGAGAGCTGGGTGTGGTGGCACCACGCCTGTAATTCTAGTGACTTGGGAGACTGAGGCACGAGGATTCAAAGTTTGAGGCCAGCCTGGGAAACTTGGTGAGACCAAGTTTTAAGACCCTGTCTTAAAATTTGAAAAGGATTGGAGATTTAGCTCAGTGATAAAGTGACCGTGGGATCAATTCTTGAGAGAGAAAGAGAGAGAGATCCCAGAGAAATAATTTAAGTGGTCCCCTCTGACCTCATCCCTATATGGGAGGTGCCAAGGCACTGACCAAAGAATTAGCCCTATGGATTCCTGGCTTTCSTCTCAGGGCCTTTTCTCAGCTTTAACACCTTGTGATTAGGCTAGGATTTCCAAAAGTATATCAGCACAACTTGAGAGAAAGTTGTAAAATACCCTCTCTATGACCATTTTCATTTATTTATTTATTTAGGTGGTACTGAGGACTGAACCCAGAGGCATTCTACCAACTGAACTATCTCCCCCCAGGCCTTTTTATTTTTATTTTGATACAAGATCTTGCTAAATTGTCCAAGTTGGCCTTGAATTTTCAATCCTCCTGCATCAGCCTCCGAGTAATTGGGATTACAGACATGCACCACCATGCCTGGCCATTTTTCCTATTTTACCCCATGGTCATGGGGAAAGACACATGTCTGGACTTGGAAAGGACGATCTTGATTTCAAGCACTCTGTCCCTGTCCTCTGATAAGTATACTCATACTTGTCTGACCATGTGTTTTATATTCTGGATGTAAAAAAGTGACCACCATGTGAAACAAAACCTTATTAACCTACCTAGGATAGCCAGAGGAAAGGAGCACATTCTGAACCCTCTGAAAACTTAGTGAAGGAGAGAAGCAAGATTCTGGCAGATTGGGGGGAAAAATACACACACACACACACACACACACACACACATACAGTTTTTAACAGGTAAATAAAGAGCTAGGCATGGAAGAAGAAAAAATGTGGGTTTGGGGCTGGGGATGTGGCTCAAGTGGTAGCGCGCTCGCCTGGCATGCGTGCGGCCCGGGTTCGATCCTCAGCACCACATACAAACAAAGATGTTGTGTCTGCCGAAAAAACTAAAAAATAAATATTCTCTCTCTCTCTCTCTCTCTCTCTCAAAAAAAAAAAAAATAAAGATGTTATCTTTAAAAAAATGTGGGTTAGGGAGGGGGGATAGTAGGGGATAGGAAAGGTAGCAGAATACAACAATTACTTATAGGGCACTATGTAAAATTGTGGATGTGTAACCGACGTGATTCTGCAATCTGCATTTGGGGTAAAAATTGGGAGTTCATAACCCACTTCAATCTAATGTATGAAATATGATATGTCAAGAGCTTTCTAATGTTGTGAACAACCAATAAAAAAAAAGAACTATCTGTAATCACTGGTATTCACCTTGTTATTTTTTTTTCACTGTTTCAATAATCTACTTCTGGACTTACCAAGTAAATGATATAATCCGTAAGTGCAAAAAAAAAAAAAATGTGGGTTAAAATCTTACAGAAGGGTCTTTCTGCCTGGAGAGGGGCAGGAAGGAGGAACCATGAAGCAGTAAGGAAAAGGAGTCATTTCATGTAGAATATTTACCGCCACTACCCCACCAACTCTACCTGTCAAAAAAAAGTTTTATTTATTTATTTATTTTTTAGAAGGGAGGGAGGATGAACCCAGAGCCTTGCACCTGGGAGCAGTCAACTACTGAGCTACACCCCTAGCCCCTTACTTGTCAAATCTTATTTCTCTCTCAAAACTGACCTTAAATGCCACATCTCCCGTGAAGTCTTCTCAGTTCCTCCCACCCAAAATTAATCTTTCTCTCTTCTATTCTTTCTCATCCTCTGTTAGTCTCTTTATTATAGCTTATGTGCTCATAATTTGTGCACATCTTATCTCCTGAACTAAATTGTAAGCTTTAGCTCAAGAAACATTGATTGAAGCCTGCTGTGTGCCAGGGATTTAGTAAATATGTTAAATGAGGGGACAGGATGAGAGTTGTAGTTTGTGAACTCCTTGAAAGTCAAGCCTGTTTTATAATCTTGTCTCAGTCATCCATACCAGGACAATTCATAGCAGCTAATGGAAACTGAATGCATCTTTGTTGAAGGCATGCATTTCTGAATAAATAAATGTCAGTATAGAGAAGGTAGTGAGGTTGAGTCAGGAAGTAGAGATCCCAACTCACCATAGTTACCATGTTGAACCTGGGATGTGACCTGGACTTTAATCCTGCCTCTGGACTATGATCCCATCTCTGGCTCTGGATCCCAGTTCTCAGCAATGACCATGGCAGTGATCTCTTTTTCAAGGGCTATTTCTTGCAGGTCAGAAACAGATTCAAGGGCCAGGCTCGATGCCAAAACTCCCCAGTTTCTTTCCACCTCCACCCTGGCAAACCCCTTCCCCTCTTCAGGACTCTGGTCCCCACCTGTGCCAGGGGAACAGCCCCACCCTGATGCTGCTTTGAGATCCAGTGTGGCAGGGGTGGAGTAGAGCCAGGGGGAATGGGAGGGGGAGCATCCTGTATTATAATTATAATTATCACACCTTGGATCCTATCACATGCTTTCAGAGGAGTTCCTTTACTTCCCACGGATTCACCCCTCCAGGTATAGGAAACCATAGTAGAAACTGAGGTATGGGGTGAGAAAGCAGTTAGATCACAAGCTGGGTATTCAGTGTCCTTCACCCTTTCCATTCACAATATATTCCTTCTTCCAAAATGCTACCTGTCAGGATGTCTCAGCCCCTGATTGGGACCCTTAATCACTCACCCCCAACTCTTGCCTTATGGAGCACTGAAGGGGAGCAGAACTTTCCAGAAGTTGTATTAAGGTAATGGTCATGTTCTAGTAAACACAGGAGGAAACCTTGAATTGGGGAAAGGATGCTACCAGGCCTGAGGGGGAGCACCAGAGTCAGAGAGCTCCCAGGACTTTGATTGAGGTGGGGATCTCTAAGACTCTTTGTCCCCTCATTCCCTCAATTTTGCATATCTCACAAGGGCCATGCTTCTGGAGAATATGCCTCATACTTAGGCCTTCTTACCCTCTTCCGGGATGAAGACTGGGGAAGGCACATTCCAAAGCAAACACTAGAAGAAAATATAAGTTGGAGAAGATTTTCAAAACCAGTGCCTGGCTAGGTATGGTAGCACAGGCCTATAAATCCCACCAACTTGGAATGCTAAACAGGAGGATCATAAATTCAAGGCCAGCCTGGGTAATTTAGTGAGACCTTCTCTCAAAATAAAAAATAGAAAGGACTGGGGATATAGCTCAGTGTATTCCTGGGTTTAGACCCCATTACAAAAAAAGCAATGTCTGGTATTCTGGGTCCAATTCTTTCTTCTATAATGAATCCCCATTTCCCTCATGCCTCACTACCTACTCTCCTCCTACCCACATACTGAGCCCTAAGAATGGGAACAATTCAAGCCACAGTGGCATCTTTAGCATGTGTATTTGTGTGCATGGCATCCACTGCGTGCATACTTCCACATGTACCTTCCACTTTGTGTCAGGTTCAAGGGAGGTGACAGCACACATAACACAAGGGACCTGCTCTAAGTCAGGAGAAAACTGAGACATAAACAACCATAACACACTGTATCTATCTCTCCATCTTAGCTCTATGTGTTCGTGATGCACATACATGGGGCTGTCTCTGTATACATTATAACTGTGGATATTCATTATCTGCATGTGTCCAAGCATCCGCTTAAACCAATCTCTGTCCCCATGACAGGCTGCACATCTAAGCCAAACCGGTTGGAGTGGGTTGTGCTGACATTTTTGTTTATGTCAATGGGACTTGAGGTGAGTCAGGGAGGGATGAGGTTGGGTGGAGTGCTGTGGGGGAGAAGAAGAGTGAGAGTGAGGGTCAAACTGGATGAGTGGGGGAGGGAGGGAATGGGTCCAGGTGAGAAGGGGTGGGGTGGGGTGGCAGGATTAGGGGTAGGAGTAGATGAGAGAGCTCCTTAATGAGCAGTTGGTCTGCAGTGAGATCTCAGGTTAGAAAAGGGTCAGAGACTTGGGGAAGACCCTTGGGCTTTGGGAGAAAAGAGAGTGAATAATAAGTCAGAATGTGAGTAAGTAGAAGTTTGGGTATGGACAAAATGTTTACAATCCACTTAGGCAGCTTTGTCTCTCAGTGCCATCTGCTCATTCTTTTGGTTTCTACATGGTTTGTACAGAAAGGTGTTGGAGAGCTGAATGACATGGTAAAAGATTGTTGGTAATAGAACTTGACCCCATYGCCAGGACTGAAACCACTGCACGTAGTAGCTTCAAATTTACTTTTTTTTTTTTTTGGTGGTGCTAGGGATTGAACCCAGGGCCTTGTGCATGCAAGGCAAGCACTCTACCAACTGAGCTACATCCTCAACCCTTCAAATTTACTTCTTCAGCTCT